TGCTAATTGTACGCCCTATTCCATATCATACATAAACATTTATAATGTAATTTCGTGGTGTACCGCAGGTATCTACAATACCAATAATATTGGTGATTGTTATTGCTTTAGTGAAATTAATTTAGTTCGAGCACGTCAACACCAGATGTTAGGTAATAGTTTACTTGTTGGAATTTCAATTTAACTTGAAAACTTGATTTGGGAGTATTAACAATATTCGTATTAAGTACTTCGACATTCTTATTTTTATTTAACTGATTCTTTTTGAATCATTCTAATGGAAATATTTTCGGACCAGTTATTCTTTTGTAATGTTAATGTGTGTGGATAATAAAAATTCCTAAGATAACCAACACAGATCAATTTAGCGTAGAAAATGATAATATGGTAATCAAACAAAGTAGTGATTCTCCGTAGCCATAAGTTTCGTTTTTCGTCTCATTGGAAATTATAATAAATTTTAATGGGCCATTTAACGATTATAGGAGATCGAATGGCTATGAACAGGTGGCCAAACACTTCGATGTCGTTAGCGCTAACAGTTACGATCCGATATTGGTATTTATGGCATGCTGCTTGTCCCTGTTTTCAACCAAATGTTAATTCTTTCTTATTTATAATATATATATGGAAATATGCATAAATTTTAAATTCACACTTTCTTTATTATCATTACATTTTTACGCTATAATATAAAAAATGAAGATTACTTTTCAAATTAAGATGCCTCTTTATTGACAGAAAAAAAACACCTCAAGGATTTTAACTAAGACAACTAACTACCATTGTAAAGTGTAATCATTCTCAAATTACGAAATACGACATCAATACGTTCTCGAAAGCTTGATATTTATGCATGCGTATAATCAATGTCGTAATTATCCTCTCAACATCCATTCGTCATAGTCTTGCAGCGGTAGATTAAAACCTGGCTCAGATTATTATCGATTGAAATCTAAAATGTCACAAGGTTGGCAGGTCTCGAAAATTTTATTACGTTAAAACCCGAGAGTTGATTAATTTTTTTCGACTTGTCGTAGGTCACAAAAATGTAGGCGAAGCGTTATTGCATAACGCGTATGTCTATTTCGCCTGTCAATTTGAATCGGTGTCGCCCGGGAATTCGTGACTATGGTTTTACGTTTGAAAAAAACGATTAGTTACGTAATGATTGATTTCGTAAGGGGAATTACTAGAAAAAAATTTGATGTATGTGCAGTCGGTTAAAAAAGTGGGACGATCTTTTATATCTTTTGTTGTAATATTTATGATTAAAATCACTTTAGATGTTTAAAACTAAGAATAATTTAGATGTAGTAATGATTTACATAAAAGTTTGTTGTATTGCATTAAATCAATAACGTAACAAAAATCAATAATATTAGGTTCAACTCTCTGCCATTAATAACATGCTTCAACTACACGCTCCGGTTGGCAACCACCACTACAATAAGCTTTCTATAACTACAATACTATCGAGTTAGGCAAACACATTGTACTATAGCTGGTTGGTTGTAACTATGAACACCAATTGATATTCAAATGAATTGGCACAGATCGAGATTCATTATTGCACGTCATCAGAACTATATATATACATCTACGAACATCCATATTCGTATCTTATTACTTACATTTGTGAAAATAAATGTTGGTACTGAAACTTCACAGAAACTGATCTTAAATAATTATAAATACGATTGCTGTGAAATGTGAGGCAGGATTAAGGAGAGAATGCTGGGCTATGTCAGGATTTTTAAATAAGGACCACCAGTGTTGTCGTTTATAATAAATAGAGTTGATTCCGGCTGAGTATTTTTCGCGCAGAAGATTGTGAACGTGTTTTTTGAATATTATTTATTGTAATAAGATTAAAAAAAGGGAACCTGTAGATAATCTCTTCAGCAATGAAATTGCTAGTGCTGTTCTTATGATAAGAATAGCAGAGGATGTGTTTATGACAGAATAGCAAGGGTGGAGGAAGAGTTTATTATAAAACCAATGAAGATAAATGAAACACTACTTAATGTAATTTAGTGTCTTGTAGAAAACATAGGAGATGTACAACAATGTTTTATTCTCATCAACACATTCTTTATGAAGATAAAGTTTAAAAACTTACTTCCACAAGAAAAACTTGCAGCTTGAAATCAATTGAACTACTTAGATCAAGGAATTGCAACAGATTGACAACGTTATTTGCATACGATAAACATGAAGGAGATCTTGGCTAGATGTTGTATTAGATGTTGTAATCTATTCCCGAACCTGATAATAATCAGGTTCGGGATTAGATTACATAGATATACATTAGAATACATAAATGGGAAATGAAGGGATGAAAACGTATTGCATAAACTCTTAAATAATCTCATGGTTCAATAGAAGGCAGAACCAAACCCTCAATAACAAGAAGAAATTCGAATTTGAAGCTCATGACCAATGTTTTAAATGGCATTCCATATTTTTGGTTGCAAAATCTGAATATATGGATGAAAGTAAAATATTCTACCAAAAAGATTTGTGCATAATTTGAAACAACTTCATCGCTATCTCCCAAGAGAACATTAAGAGCAACTTTCACGTGTCGCGGTAGGAAGTAAATATCAATACATCGGTAAACTACCTTAGAAAGTGTTCTTGTCATAATTACACTCAACTTTCTTGTATCTCACGCATTCGGTATCTGCCACTCGTCTTTTTTGTAATAGACATTTATCACGTTAGAGACATCTCGGAGTCGGAGAAGGTGTTTATTTAAAAACAATTATTTGGCTCAAAAGTGTGTGAGCTGGTATACATCAAAACATCAAAAAAATCGGCTTGACTTCTTATGCTCTTCAGCAATTGAAGCGATAGCAGCTTAGGCAAATTAGTTTTATTTACTATAATCTGGAATATGTCATTATCATATAAAGCAATGCGAATGATATCTGATGCTAAGTTGATTCAGATTCATTAGAAACAACAAATATGAGTCTCCTTTCTATCCTGTTACACAGTTATCTTTAAATTTCTTCTTTGTCGTTGGGTTGGTGCCATTTTTGGGCGAAGTATATTGAAGAAACATATTCATAATACTAAGATATGGTGATCTTTTATAACAGTACTTTAGAGGTTTGGAAAAGCCCAGAGAACACCTTTTCGGCTAATATATAACAATAGTGGCTACAGAGCAAAAATAGAAGGTTGGTCATTGGAATCGGGTCTTCTTATAGAACGCTATCAGGTTACCCTTATTTATAGAAGCAATACAAGAATTAGGTGTTGAGTAAAATGTTAATTATGGCATTATTTTGTAGAGCAAGCAGGATCAACTTTTTATATGTCTGATTTTGAAATTAAATCTCTTTCTTAAAAAAAGATTCTATTTTGCTTCGTTTCCGCGTTGTTTTTTCCATTCCTTTCTTACTTAATTTCTTTTTGAGCTAATATTAAAACAATACATTTTGCTACTTCTTTAATAAGAACTTCCTGGGTAAATTCTTCCTTTTAATAATGTTTATCTTGAAATATTTTTGCATATTGCAGTTTTATTATCGTAATATAATCAATATACTTTTTTTGTAATATAGACGAAATTTGCAATGGAATATCAGTGATGAAGTTATACGAGACTTCGTATTGATTTATTTCGCATAAATCAGCATTAAAAGCACTGTCAGTCGACCGTAGAGGTGACACTGACTCGCTAAAAGTTAGGAATTTCAACCAGATCGCATCAACGGCCAACAGCACGGTCCCCAGTATTGGCAATGTAAATATTTAAATACGACAAGTTACCTTTTAAAACCACATTCCACGGTCGATTAAATATTTTGGGTTGTATCATTTTATTTATTGAAAATAACCAACATACATAATTTTAATAAAAATTAAATCAATTTCTTATGTATTGAATAATTACTCAATATTTTATATATTTTTAGATAAAAAAATTTTAAAGCTAAATATTTATTTTTAGCGAAAGCTTTTAACGTAAATCGAAGGAACAACACACTGGACTATCAACAGTTAAGAGGGGTAATTTATGGGTTGTTTATTTGCAAGAAAATCGATATTGTCGTAAAATACATCCCAATACACACTTTTTGCTAAAATAAACTCTATTGTAAAAGGGTCTTTTCACATTTAAAACCTTGATATTTATTGCAAACATCTCGATGTAAAATTGAATATTTCAGTATTATCACATTTTAAAAGCAATTTGGTTACAAATTAACATTACCGGTTAAATGATGAAGATAAAAAGTATTATTTTGAGGTAATTGTTTACGTTTATTGTAAAATAATACCCTATGTATTTTGTCGATTTGTCATAAAATTTGCGTTTTAGTATACGCGCTACCTAAATATTTATGTTACTGATGTAGTGAATACGCGCTTTTTGATAGTTTTACAATTATCCAAAATAGCATTGATACGATTTATTGAATAAACTGTAAATACATGGCATAATAACATAAAGTGTAGAGAATAAAAAATATTGCAAATTTCTAGGTAAAAAAAACAAATTAATTATAAAAAAAACGGAATCGATTTATTATTACAATCGATTTAAGATTCGTTATTTAGTAGTTAGATAACTAAAACACTAAATTAATTATTTGGTTCTTTGTTTTTTTAACTGTAAATTCAAGTGCGTATGGTTTTAGAGTCAATTTAATGGCTACTAAAAGAGGGTTAATTAATACAGTCAAATAGAACATTCGAAATCAAGACATTCCGATGGTTTACTATAATCGTAAATTCCACAACTGGACGTATTTATTGTAACCCATCCAGTCTGTAGATTGCGCAATAAATTTTATCTTCGCTTTCGATATGATGCGCGCCAGTTTTAACATCCCTAAAATGACCCCACACGCATAACATACATCACGCGTTTATGAGACCTTTCAAACTTAAAATAAAATTTATCGGGTAAAACATAATATAAAAATATAGTTACGACCACATAGAAATGTTGACACGTATTAATTTTACTTTATTTATTTCAGCATGGTTTCGTCCAATGTAAATCAAAATGTGAACCGATCGATGGATGTTATGCATTGGAAAAGACTGCAAATTCATGCTGCCCGAAATGCAAAGGTCGGTGATACGACTGATATATCCGGGTTCGAGATGAGTAACGTCGATCTATTTTGCAGGATGCATGTACGAAGGGATTTACTATGCCAGCAATACAGAGTGGAAGGATCCAAACAATCCTTGTATGGTGTATCACTGTCACGCCGGTGTTGTCACGCAGATCGAGGTGCAATGTAGGACACCGTGCAAAAATCCATCACCTCCAAAACCAGGACAATGTTGTGGAACCTGTCCTGGTACGTTATACCATTAAATATGAATCCCTCTATCTTATTTATGTTGAATGAAATTCAAGCATATTTTATATAGTGAAAACCATTAAAATTTATTCACATCGAACTGCTGTTCTATAAAAAGAACTAATTAAACGATATCGTAGTTAATATGTATTAACATATTTTAACATAAAAGTATTATACTTTACGACAAATCAAAATAAATAGGCCTAAATGAGCGTAACGATATCTCAAGATATCTCAGAATTCGAGCGAATTTTGATAAAGCTTAGTGGTTGATGGCGTTATTACATGTTGTTACATTGAAATTCAATTTGGTTTGAAAACCCCGTAGATGCTGCAACAACAATAAATTATGTGGTGAACATTACATGCCAAGCAATATATAAAGCAACGTTGAATAGCTTCAATGAGACCACGATAGACCATGAATAAGGTTTCATATTACGCAGCCATACGCTCACTGTTGACAAATCAAGATATATTATACTAATACAATTCTTGAAGTTTCTATTTCATTTCTAAATCATGTGACAGATCTAGGTATTGTATGTCCACTATATTTATTTAGTGGCTCTTCAGTGTTAGAAAGAAGGTAAACATACTCTTCAAAGGTATAACATGAAAACCTAACTACTTCACCATCTTGTTTAATAGACACTGTTGATGCTCTATCACAACGATGTATTATGTTCGATATAGGATATTGTGAATCACATTCTTGTATTCAATTTTGTATTTTATGTATTCTTGTATTTTATTTTCTAAAGCTTTTGATGTCCATAAATGTGCAGCATACTAAACGGCTTAAATCATGTCGAAGACAATTTTTTATAGTCCAGAATCTAGAGTTTGTATTCTGTTCAGTATAATTCCAGACTGCTTCTTGTTATATTGATTCTGCTATTTTGAACTTGAATGTACTTGTAAACACAAATAATTTTGAAATATCTAGTTAACTTGAGATCTGTATAACAACAATTCAAAAAGTTAAGTTTTTTAGCTACAACGTTTTATGTGTGATCATTTTTATTATTTATGCTGTGTTTAAATCTAACTTTTATTACATACAATTTGTACCAAGCACTACTCTGCAACAAAGTAAATATCTTTTTATATTAATGCATATCGTTACATTTTTATCTTTATTACAATCAGTGAGTTACACAGTACGCAGGTTGATATTTTATACGTTTATTACGGCCGTAACTCCCACACTTAATGCTATGTACTCCATCTCTGCCAAGTACCGCAGGTGTTCGTTTAAGCGCCACATACGTAGCTACGTATCCTTCGCATTATGTACATCGTTCACAATAATAAATACCGCAAATTAAGCGCCGATTGGAGACGTGTGCCGATTTCCATACTTTCTCGCACCCAAGTGGCAGCAGGATCGAGATTGTGGCTACACCTTAAGCCTCTCGCACTTTCACCTAATTTGTATACATTTTTTTGTCAGAGGCGCGATTACGCGTATGTAATTTGACACATTTTACTTTCTAGCCGGAGCAAGTGCGCACGTTTCCAAACCTGTGCTATAAATAATGGACAGGTTTTGCTGGAGGCTATATACGATTTATATGTTTTAGCTACTAATTTCATAACTCGCCTTTTTATACTTGCACAATTTACATTATATTCTATATTTTTGAATTTAATTACTTTTAGATTGTCCAAAACTCAAGAATCATAGAGGATTATCAGGTCGTCAAATAATGTTATCGGATCCTTGTCTAAAATGTCCTTGCAGTCAATCAAGTGGAATGATGATGTGCACAAAGAAAGCGTGCCCTGTTTTGGATTGTCCCGAATCTAAATTGTGGCGTAACGAAGGCGAATGTTGTCCAAAATGCTCCGGCAAAAACGAAGTAACCTCGTTTCCGGTCCCCAACACTTGTTTAGCATTCAAAAAATTTTTTAAAGAAGACGAAACTATTGTCTTGGATCATTGCACGAAATGTACGTGCAAAAACGGCACCATGATATGCAACAGAAAAACCTGTCCTGTACTCGATTGTCCGCCTATCTACCAAAAATTACCGCCGAATAGTTGTTGTAAGGAATGTCGAAATCTAGAGGAACTCGAATCTTACGAAGAAAGAACCCTGCAGTGCACGTTCCACGGTCAAACGCTTGAAGTAAGTATTTGAATAGAAACTAAATTGTTTGTTTGAATGGATTTTTCTTTCTTTCCAGGAAGATGAGGTGAAAGAGTTAGATGATTGCACAATGTGTAAATGCAGCGGGGGGCTCATCACTTGCGATAGAATTATGTGTAACGAAAGTATGGAGTGCCCATTTGGATCGTTTAAAGTTCACGAACCTAAGGAATGTTGTTCTAAATGCATTGAAAGTAAGTATCTAATTGTTCGAATTTTATGAAATCCGGCTCCTCCACCAAAATTTTATCAACTTTTTATAGTTGAATTACAATTTTGACTGAATTATTTCGTGATCATATTTAAACTAAAACACTCGGGTAAAACTAACGCAAACTATATTAAAATGTGGAACATGAAGATTAGACTGGTTGACACTTATAACTTGGTGAATTGTGGCAGCGAGATAATAAAGAGAAGATTTTGCTCGTCAAACTTCTGCAATGACTTAAATGTAATGTTATATTCCTGACTTACCTGCGTAGCTCTCACTTTTTCAACTTTATCTGCAAAGTTATTTGAGTCGAACTATAACAGGTTTACATAAAGCACCAACAAATTTTGTACGAAATTATTCTGTTGTGCTTGCGAACGCTGTTAACTTTAATAATGTAATTGAACATGCGATAAAGTTTTGTTGTGATTTCACTGCGATATATTTACCGTTCACCATGTTTATTGCAATGGAAGTGTGCCTATTAAACTGGATTAGTAAATTGTCAACCTGAACGCGTGTATGTAATAAACGACGGCGAATAAGCGTTTTCTATCTCGCATTAAAGAACACCTGAAGGTAGCGACTAGAAACTGAGCCGGTGGAGTGGCGAAAATGAAGATTTATGTGCCACAGAAACCTGATATTTTTGTTGAATAACTCACGCTTAACTGTGCTCTGTTTATCTAGTTCTTGGGAGGGCGTAAATTACGTTTTCGCGTCAGAGAAAAATAGTTCATTAAAACTTTGAAACTGGATCGTAAAACTGTCCGGTAGTTTGGATCGCAATCTTCAACTTCGTTTGCTTTTAATTGGTTAACATCACGTGGATTGTTAATCTTATCTCCTATTATTAATGTATTTTTGTTTATTAATCAATTTTTTTTAAATTTTTTTAGAACCCGGCACATGTGTAGTTTTTGGCGATCCTCACTACAAGACATTCGACGGCCAATTTTATACTTTTAAAGGAAACGGAAAATATCAATTAACAGCTGACTGTAAAGATCATAGCTTTTCGATACGTGTGGCGAACGCTTATCAAACAAAATCAAGCAGTTCAGCCACTACAAAACGAGTATCCATAAAAGTTTCTGGTTTACGAATCAATTTAGGCCAAAAGCTTGTAGCTAAAATAGATGGTGTAAAAATCCCGTTCCCGTACGAAAAGGATAAAGTTGTAATCGACAAGCTTAACGATACATTGCAGCTGCGATTACGCGACGAGATAAAGATTGTATGGAATGGAAGAAGTTTTTTGGAAGTTACCGTACCTCCAAGGTACAAGAATAAGCTTTGTGGATTATGTGGAAATTTCAACGTAAACTCACAAGATGATCTAAAAGATCGTAGAGGACGTAATTTTTCCGAACATGCTATTCAACACTTTGGAAACGCCTGGTGCGTAGGGAAAAGTTGTTCTAATCACGCCCATCAACCGAAAACCTGCACAAACAAGCGAAAACATGATAGAAAATATTGCGATTTCTTTAACAGCTCGAGTAGCTTCGAAAGATGCCGCACCAAAAACAATTTGGAACAATTTTATAGCGCTTGTTTAATGGATATGTGTGATTGTCCGGATGGTAAATGTTACTGTGAAAGTCTTATGGCCTACGCTCAAGAATGCAAGAGGTTAAATATCGACGTTAGTGGTTGGCAGAAAGCGTGTAATTGTGAATCTTTTAATAGAACCCAACGAAAATTTATGCAAAAACGACCACGGAAAAATCATAAATTAAATCATTTGTTAAACACGATAAAAAGTAAAAAGCAATTTAGCAATAGCAATATTACTTACGCCCGGTATTTTCCAAATAAAGTCAGGAACAGTAAAATGATTCCATTATCACCTGAGTAGATCCACCCTCAAAAAAAAAACCTAGTCAAAAAAAAAAATAAATAATTAAAAAAAAATAAATAGACAGTATTTTATTAGGTGTTAATACGTAGTAGTTGATGACGAAAATGATGTGCTATATATATATTAGTATGTATAAAATCGTCGAAACAATCGCAAGGGAAAGAAAAAAAGTATTACATTAACGTGACCAAACATTGTTTTCTCTTTTAAGTATATTATACCGGCGCGATCTTTTTACCATTTGTCGTTTTGTTTTAGATTTAAGTTGTAATCCAAATCAGCTAACGTCACGGTTTTTAAAACTGACCACCTCTGAACTAACTAACCCCTTATTGTGTTAATCATTAATACGACTTTTGTATTATAAAGAAACGAAAAAAAAAGCGTGATCTTACAAAATCGATTATATATCTTTCATAAGAGATCTCAAATAGGCTACAGGGTGTTAGAAAAAAAAATCGAAATTAAATATATGTGTAGTTTGTTTTTTTATAGATTTGCGGATTTAACTAGTAATTTTTAACGAAACAACGAAAAGAAGTAATATATGCCCATAGATTTAATTTATTTATTTGTTTGTGTACTTACTTAATCGGTAAGTTTTAGTGAAATTGTTTTATTTTATTTTTTATAAATTTTTAGGTGAAAAATCTTTATATTATTATGTGTACCGCCCGAACAAATTGTATATAAATATTAAAGAAAAAATCTCCGCACAGAGGACGTTATCTAATAGTATTCTCTCTTTGTTAATAGATGTAGAAAGATGGTAGATCCATTTTATTGTAGAAAATTGAACATTGTTGTTGCTTATACTTAGTACACGGCACCATAATTAATATAGCGATTATTGTAATTTACTAATAACACTTTAAAGGGATTATTACCAAAGATACTAATGCATTTGTTCTCAATAATGTAATCGAATTACGGATATTATGTAATTAATTAAAAATTTATACTGATTGGAAATTGTTTTTTTTTAAACAATTTGGTTGTACATACGTTTTAGTATATCTCTATATGTTAATTTAAATATGTCGATCTCTCACTGTAATTTTGCATTTATATTAAACATGTAAAAATAATATTGAATCTGTTTTAGATGAAAGAAAGAGTTTATAGTTAAAATAGTTCCTAGCTACATAAATACTTCTTATTAGAGCTAATTTTTCTTGACCTTTCTAATTTCTTTTTATGAAAAAAAAATCTCAATCGCTTACTTAAAGTGTACTTTGATTGTAGAGCAAATTGTGTTACTATTTATTTATGTTTCTATTCTATCAGAATCACCGCTTAGATAATTATTGTTAAGTATAACACTGTGTATATAAATTATTGATGTATGCTGTTGATTATATTTTTCTCTTTGTATTTCTTTTCTACTGCTAATTACCATCCGCAGTGAACACGATTAAATGAATGTACTCTAGATTGTTAAACTGTGTGTTTCCACTTAATATAAACTTACAATAAAGTTTAAATCAAGTACAACAACGAGTTTTATTGTTATTAAGTCGATCATATTTTAAATTTACGTTAAATCATATTTTTATTCTTAAATCACGTATAACCAAATATATCACTATTTACATAGAAGGAGGAAAGAATAGGTTAACAGATCCAAATAAAATGTAGAGACGACTTTCAATAAGAATTGTGACGATCTGAAAACTCCGAAATAATCACTTTTTATAATAGCACCAAAAAAATGGAAGAAATGTTGATCGAACGTTGACATCATATAATGTTGTAAATACAAATATTTGATCAATGTGGTTTTACATGGTCACCATTTGCAAATCAGATCAGATAGTGAATTTGTCAAAATATGAAAGCTGTTTCAAAGAAGTCTTAGTTTTGATATGTATTTGACTAAATCTGTTTGCACTTCATCATGATTATCTTAGATACTAAAGATGAGGAAGTGGCAGAACCACAAACAAAAGAGACCTCCAAAATTGAAAAAGTCAAAAGATTAGTAAACTTGATTTAGATCTATTGGTCTGTTGATCTATTGGTGTTGGAATACCTGCTTTTCTCTCTAACACGGATTTCTTATTTAAACTTTTATTTTATCAATATATCACGCTGTTTTAGCAATCATCTTCCATTTGTGCCATGATTATCAGCGTAGCATACTACACTGACCTATACCTGTGTATACCATTTTTGTGCCATTTTATAATCAAAATTAAACACAAATGATCTTAAGTCCACTTAACTAATTCCGCCTAGTTTTGGAATATTAGCAGTTGCGTACTTACCTGTTTCAATCTATAAAGGTAGCTTTGTTTAGAATTTGAATTACTTTTACAACATGATATGCTGACATTAAAACATTTCAATGTCACACGAAATAAACCAGCACTCCAACTATAACATATCTGACCTGTCTGAGTAAGTGGGCAGCTTAAGGCAGCCAAGAAAAAGCTTGGCTGGCAATTTTTTTAGTGTATCTATTAGGGAATATAAATTTAATAAGAATATCCGTCAATCCAGAATTTCCTGTATCTTTATACAACCATATAATTTGATCATATCTTCTTTATTATCTAATATTTTATAAGGCATAACTAAATTATTACATATTATCCAGACGCTTCGCCTCGTTTCAACAATTTGACGTCGATACTCTTAGAAATTCAATAAAAACTATTTATTGGTATTAAGTTACTATCTAATCGCTTTGTATATCTTTCTTGCAGATATATTAAGTAAAGGATATGTAAAAAATAAAACACTTCTTTTCGTTAGTTTAATCCATGAAAATACACAATACCTTTATAGAATAATACAAGATTAATTACTTAGAAAGATACCAATTTTGGATATTCAACCTCAATTTCTTTTCCCTCATTAATAAACCAAGCAGAACCATTATGTTCTTTTTCGATAACCCGAATAAAGCACTTTGCTAATTCTTCAGGTCTAGAAATCAATAAAAACATGCATTTTTTATGATCATTAATTAAAAAACATGGAATTTACTTTTGCATATCTACTGTATATTTTAGAAGATTTTCTAAATTATCATCATAAACCATCCTTGTAGGCAATTGATTAAATATAGCTGTATCTGTTGCTCCAGGGCATAAAGCCATTACTTTGACTCCTGTTCTTTTATAGTGATAATCACACCCAAAATTTCTGGTTAAACCGATTAAGGCGAATTTGGTTGTGCTATAAATTTCAATTCCTGCAAAAGGCATCAGTCCGGCTACCGAAGATGTGTTAATTATAATTGCTGTGGATTCACTTTTATACTTTGGAAGATATTCGTCTATAGCTAACTTTAATCCATGAATACAACCAAGCTAAAACAAAAAAAACCATTTAAAAAATACAAATTTAAGAAAGTAATGTAGATTTACCAAATTTATTTTTAAACAATTTTCGTAATCATGTTCCTCAAATAACCCAACGTTGTTGAAGAAAATATCTAATTGTTTAAAACATTGAACGGTTTTCTTAAAAGCATCTTCGTATTCGTTTTTATTTATTAGATTTGCTTTGATGTATATTACTTTTCCTTGTCCGTATTTGTTATTTAAATCTTCCGTAATTGAAATTCCTCTTTGTTCGTTTATATCAACCAAAGCGATTCCCTTTAAAATATTATCAATAAATAATTTGATATAAAACGTGATTTTTTCACAACATTAAACGTACTAAAACTTCATTTTGTAATAGCTCTTTTATACAAGCTAATCCAATTCCTGAAGCTCCACCAGATACAAGAACAACTTTACCTTTAACCAACATTATGATTACTGAATCTGAAGACAACATAATAATATTTATAGATCATCTATTTAATGATTCAATAAACTTCCTGAAGGTTATCATATATTATAACCTGACGTTTTAATGCAAATATCGATGTTTTTGTTTTGCAAGGAGTCAATAAATACAAGATTTAATAAATCTCCTGAAGGTTATCATATATAATTTTTTGCACCCGTTTCACATCCGCTTTAATTTTACGAGGATTCTTGTAATAAAATGCGAATAAACAGAATTTTCAATACATTTATTATCCACAAATACATATCTTTTAGGTAGAAATCAGTTTTAAAACACCATTCGCACACCCACTACATAATAAATTTATTGCCATTTACTTTAATTAATAAATTACTAAACAAAATCAAGAGCAAGTGTGTGTGCGAATACACTATTTCCGTTAGTTTCTGTTCATTTTGTAAAATTAGATTCTACAAACCCTCTTTTTATATATAAAAAAGAAATAAGTTAAATCTTATCTTAGTTTTTCAATAATTAGTACTTAGTTCTGTGCGAATATTAACAGTGAGGTTTTTGTCGATTCAACGATACATTTAAATCGAAACTAAAATTATTTTTTATTTAAAGCAAATAACGTAATGTTTGTTTTTTTACAACGAATCGTATAAATATAATTAATATTAAAAAACAAATTTTATATTTTTCATAATAAATAACGTACTCAAACATGTCTAAATTTCCTCTAATACTTATCTACCTATAAAAATTTACCTACGTACCACAAATATCTTCTCTTTACACTAAACAATCAAATACTGTCATTTTAACACTTAATTTTCTTTGTTATAGTAAAACAAATAAGGTAACTAGCATACAAGCAGGAAAGGTTTTGTAGAAATTTTGTTTAAATTATTTGTTTTTCTAGACATGTATACAACATTGAGAAAATGTAATTGTTAACTATTAGAACTAGACATAGATTTTCATTTTTTTTTGTTTAAATCGTTTTCATCTTTAACTGATAAAGAAAAATGTAACACTTTACATCTATGAACAATAAGAAATAGAAGCGAAGATGTTAGAGGAAGTACATACACACGCACATATTCACGGAAAAATCACATAGGACACACGAAAAAACTTAACGAGTAGTAGACCTGGTATATTTCTATCTACACGTACAAGGAATGTTCGTTATGACTTTACTAAACTAAAACACTAAAAATGGAGTGTTAAAAAACAAACATTCCTTGTGTACAAAAATAAAAACATATTTACATATATTTATATATATTTTATAAATCACAATGTTGATATGTTCGACCATTATCGAATTTGATATGCATGAAGTTCCATAATCTTAATATACTAACTATGCAGCCTTTTCAAATTGTATTTTCATTTTCTTTACAATATACATTTTTTTTTCTTAATAGTTATCCTTTCTTGATCACAAACCAGCCTTTTTGCAGAGGTTTTCTTGATATGTTTAATGATAACACAAGTTTATTCGGTTTAAGACACGAATTGATAGAGGATACTTTTTTAGTTAATATTTGATGATAATTTTCAGTATCAGCTCAAATTTGCAATATAGCAATAAATATTTATTTATAATATTAATTAATAAATATCTAGGCTTCATCATAAATCAAAGCAACAACATCGATAATGAAATAAAAGTCCGAATACTAGCAGGGAATAGAGCAATTTTTGCGCTGGGAAAACTAATTGTAACAAAAGCTGAACAATAGTCAGCTAAATATCTAAAACATGGGCACTCAATAATCTTCACCTAGAGTTATTAAACAGGTTTGAAAGAAATATCTTACGAAGGATATATAGGCCAAAATATGATACAAACCTTGGAGGTTAGAGATAATTAATGAACTATAAGATAAGATAACTGCAGGAATGACTAGAACTAGTGGCTGGGACACGTGTGGAGAATGCTGGCAGGGAGAGTGGCGCGCAGGGTACTCACTCAATCACCAAAGGGTCATCGACCAAGAGGATGATGAATGGACAATGTTAGGGAGGATTTGAGCGCCCTGCAGAACTGGGGCAATTTAGCCCAAAATCGAATAGGGCCAAAACTCACAATGGACTATAGTGCAATTGTGTTTATTATTATTTAGATTTCAATTGAATAATTAAACATCTTTCGCTAGACGGCTCATTTTTTATTACAAGACTTCTTATTCAAGATATTTGCAATGTTTAGATATTATTCAGTTTGGTGTCTATTAAATTACAAAAGCAAGGAAGTGCAGACAAATATAAGTTTTGAAACTTAGCGTGTGGAATGTTAGAATTCTGTAAAATAGAATTAGAACAAAACAGAAGAATAGAATTAGAAGAATAGAACATAATTTGGAAAAGCTACAAAGATGAGAAGTGTGATGATCAGCACTAAGTTCTCCATCTTTTCATCAAGATGGAATTTTCTTACGAGAAGAGATTTAACTAGGTTATATTTCGCAGATATCTGAAATACCAGATTATCAACAAGTATCATTTTTAAATTTTGTACAAGTATTAATGCTGTTACTAAAAGAAATGTAGAGTTGATTTATGATAAAATTTATTGCAGTGAAAAAGATGATATGTTTCGTATCCTTTTATTGTAAAAATCATGGTTGATTTCATCAAAATCTATATTCATCATGGTTTCTAGAGTTATTATTATCACAAAACAATTAAATATTTGAACTGATACTGAATTAAAATCGCCTATAAAATTTGAAAATAAAAATTTATAAAACAAGGACTCTAATCTCCTCGTGTCTGATTTTCTAAACCTGCGTTCATTTCAGATTCATTTGTCTACTACACCCTTCGAAATGATATATCATTTATCTACCGATGGGTCGCGTATAATATTAACTAATTTCACTAATTGGGACTTTAAAAATGAATCTATTGCTTCATTTAAATTTATAAATGTTTGTATAGTGTAACGTCTAATATAATCCTTTAGAAATGGTTTATAAAATTGTTTGCTGACAAGCTATGGCTTGTCGTTGTAATTATCTCTGTGGTATCTTAAGGGAGATTTAAGTATATGAATGCAATTTCTGCGATATGTAATAAACATTAGGTAGATTATATATTGATTCATTAATGATAGACCAAGATGGTGTAAGATTTTGAGCTATATACGTCTTCGATGTCTTTCTTGGTGTTATTCAATATATTGGTCTTACTAAATTATTACTACAAATTCAAGTATTAAGTTAAAAAATTAGATCCAATTAGTTATTTTAATCAACAAAAGTCAATTTGAAAATATTCAAAACGACAGGTTAATAATTTTATTAGGAGTTATTGTCATTTCGTAGTCAGTGTTATTTAAAGTGTTGGTTTTTTGTGTTGTTGGGGTTATTTTTACGGATTTAGTTTCGTGAGTTTCCAAATTGACCTTTGCATTTCCTTTGAAAAACAGACCTATTTGCATTGAAAGCTCGCGAGCGATTTTTGCCCGCGGCCTAAATGTATTCGTGCAAATCCGGCGAATGCATAAAACATACGTAATTTGAATAAAAACTTTGCGATACTGGCGCAATTCAGCACACGCCGGGTTTAATACACAGCAATATAAACCACAAGTGGCGAAAAAAAAGTGTTTAGACGAGGATATCTTGAAATAACAATCCAAAGTGTGGGCGGTACATATCGCAGAAATGCCATAATATCAACAACCTCCAATGTGGATTACCGAATTGTAAAATAAACTTCAAGGCACGATCAATATGATCTAACGAAATACCGGGTCCACAATTTTTTTTTTCATTAATTAAGTTAAAAGACTTTGGTAAAGATACATACAAAAACGTCACTTTCTTTTTCACGTACACTGTTTTTTTTTGTATATTATGACTATATTGTATAAACAAATTCGTCTTTATTTGTATACGTCGTAGATTTTATATAGAAGTTTTTATAACATCTCTTAAAATAACGTGTTTAGTATCGTTTTTTTTTAAATTTTGTTCTACGATTAACAGCTCATTTTTGATATGTACGATGATATGTATTTGGTATTCTTGTGCGCCCAGAAGTTGGGGCAAATAGTTAACCTACACAACGACGTGTCATCACACATTTTTTTTAAACAGTTTCTGTAGGATTGAGCAAATAGTGCACCGTTGTGCTTCTCTCACTATTGAGTTAATTTAATTTTAAAGTATTGAAATAAAATGTATCTATCCTGAACGACATCAACTTTAAGAAATTATTTGAACAGTTTAATAACTGTATGGTTTTATATCTTGTTCACGTCCCAAAACTAAATTTGTCATATCGCCCATTGTAATACAATTTCATTTTCATCCCCCTTTTCAGTTGAAATCTCGCAAACAGAATAAACCCTCCGAAGTTTGCCCGGAGGAAATGCGCCCGAAATTCAGCACATTCACGTACGCAAGGCGGGCATCGCTCAGGAGGCTTTCCTAAGCACACACGGACAGAAGAGAGATATCCGAAATAAAACTACTAAAGCTTGGGGAAAAGTTGAAAGGCAGATCGACGCTTCGGCTATCCGGCACAAAGAATTTAGAGGTCTTTTATCACGTTTTATCTGATCAAATCATAACCAACAAAATATGTTTTAAAAATTAAATCGATTGTGTCGTTGCTGTTTAGTAAAATTCAATGTTTCCAAGAAATTTTTCCAGTGTAAAATTGCAAAAGATTAAGGAGCTTTGGGTACCCATAAAATAAATTTATATACGTTCCTTTTGTATAGCACGACGACAAATTCTCGAAAAAGGAAACAAATAGTAAGAAGGCGTACATTTTTGCTAGAATATGGACGTTTTCTATGAAACCCCTTGGTTTCCATGAATACATAATACATGAGAGATACGTGGAAGCGATCTAAAATGTTAATAGATTTGCTAGGCGTGAAAATTAGCGCAATTCCATTTCAGTAAAATAGCGTAGATTAAAATACATTTCTTAGAAACTTTTACATTTTAAGTCGTATTATTGATTTTTATATAAAATATACGAAATTATATTTCATGAAAAATATTTCAAGTTAATTAATTAAAAGTTTTGGTATTTTGTGTTCAACTTTCATGAAATCGTCGAAACTAAACTGAAAAGTTTCCAAAGCTCCAAGTTTCTGTAAAGGTTAAGACACAAACTGGATTACGTGAAAATCTGTATTACTACAGCCCCAAAGTTTTCTGTGCCGGTTGCCGGCGACGAAACGCGAAAATAAACAAAATAAATCATTCGACCCGGTTTTAAAAGTAGTATACATTACGTCGTCAAACTCGCGTAATCCCGCTAGGATGAAACAAAGCCCTAAAACTATATTCCATCATAATCTACTACTCTTCGGGCCAGCCTAAGTCCTCGCCGATAAGTTCGTAGAACTTCTGGTTGTGTTCCCCATAGTACTTCCGCAATTTCGCTACGATATTCGGATCGACTCTCGGATGTCTTCTCCCCTTTGTTTCCCTCAAACACCTGTCACTGGTCTCGTTCCGCAGACAATAAAACCCCTTTGTTTCGTTGAAGTAGAAGTTATGATTGCCAATATGCGGCTCAAGACCCAGAAACTTTTCTATTCTTTGTAATTGAGGAACCGGATCTTCAATTAGAGAGTCACCATTTACCACTAAAATCTGTTCCCTGGAAAACACTTCCAACCATCGATGAACGTAATTGTGATAAACTGAAATCGCTAAAGGTTTATAAGCTTCGTTTATTGTTCCGTTTGAGTGTAGAGAAAGTTGTTCGAAAGTTTTAGGTGAAGGTGTTGGTAAAATGCTGGCAGGAGTTGATGAGGCAGCATGGGCACGTAACTGGGTATAATCCGAGATGGCTCTCGTGACTGGTTCTCGTACAATTAACAATAATCTTACACTTGCGTTCATTGCCCTTATTCTTTCGGGAACCTAAAAGAGAAATAAATTACAATTTAATATAGTTTAATGTAATTACAATTTTAATATAGTCAATGATGCTTTTATGTTGACAAAATTAGTTAGTTTGTTGATCATTAAATCTGTTCATCTTAACCGTTTAATTTTATTAATTATACCTTTGTTCACCAAGAGATGCAAGTTCAAGAACTGTGAAAGGAAAATGTTTAATTTCGTGTAACGCTCTCACAGCATTTCAATCGGATATGTTGCTACGTTTGTAGTTATAGGTCTATTAATTAAGACGTAAGCTAGAAGACATGTTATACCACGAATAGGGCTCTATGAACTGTTTGGCAATATCTCTACAGATTGCTTTGACGTTAAGTACATAATCACTTGATAACGTAGGTAAAATAATATTGAGACATAACCGAAAATATACATTGAGATTACTTGTAGAGACGTAGATGTTCGCATCGCAAAAAAATATGCGTCAATTTAGATTTTTATTACATCAGCTATAGCAGTTATAATATTAAATCAATACCACATAAAGCTAGCAATAATAAAACAGCTACAAGTTAGTTAATAAGCTTAACGAATGTATGGTATCTAAACGAAAAGAGTAACATTTTTAACAAAACGTTTTCCTGGTGATGCTACATTATTAATTAATTCATTGCATATTTAATCAACAACGTGAATAAAACAGATGAAGTAAATGAAGTAGTAAATGGTCTGATTTTTCAGTTTATTCAGGTAGTAAATGTAGGGAAGCATTAACAAATAGTAACATAAATGGTGGTCGTATCTTGGAGTGGTGTAAACAAATAAATTAACGGCGTAACATTTGTTTGCCACAGCTTGTAACAAGTAGTTGGCGGTATACCACAGCGAACTTGCACGAACAAGTACACCGTCGACGTGTTTATCGGTTGTAGGTATCAGTCGCGCGATCGGCGCTCGGATACAACGAAATGTGACCGCTTTGATTATCCGAGCGTGCTCGTTCAAATTAACTGCAAAGTCGAATTTGGCGGGGTCATGCACATCGGATCCCACCCGAGAGCGGTTCCCCCCAGGTTTCATCGGGCTTAACGCAATTACACCAGCTCCCATCATTCCACTTACTTGCACTATCGGTTATATATAGTATGTAGGACTTAAATATCGCATCGTAGGGCAGGTGTAAATGGCGCAGTATCGCAAAAAGCTTTTGGGCTATTTCCAACAAATAATGATGTAGCGAGGTTACAGAACCAAACTTGTAAAACTAAAATTGGAAGAGTTTTGCAATTAAAAGTTAGTTTTAATGTACTTTAAACCAAATAAATTTATCAATTTTAACAATAGAAAAAAATGATGTAAAAGTTACTCATATCGTTATAAGTTTAATGTAATGATTAAACGAATGTAAACAAAAAGTTTTAAATGATCCAATATAATAGCGTTTACATTGCATAATGAAACGAGCTATTACACGAATCCGGTAGCTTCGAAGTATAAAATGGCTATTATTTACATAATGTATCTTTTACACAATGTTGTCTTGCTGGGGAGAGTGAAAAGTTTTTGAATCCGAAACCATACCCCAACACTACGCTATCGTAGTGGGAATCCCCCTATGGGTACGCTTGTGAAGAGAAAGAAGTAACCAGGAGCAATCCACACCAACCACCTTTGAAAGTGTTTCAAGAAATGAATCGGCTGCTAAGTGAATGTAGAAGTGATGCTAAGTGATAGACACCAATTGTTTAAAAACAGGCAATTAGAAAGATACCGCACCTGAATCAAATCAAAATTCAATTCAAAAGATAGCTTGTAGAAACACGAAATAAAGGATTATCATACATTGGATAGTTGAGGTTCCCTAGATGTAGGAGAATCAAATTTGGATAATTTGATTAAAACCCGTTGTAAAAGTAGAGGACACTCTATATGAATAAGGTGTGACGTCATATTGTATTTAAAGACATAACAAAATAACTCATCTTGTTCAATACTCTGATACCCAACCTCAATGCGCGCTTCTTCTTCCATTACACGAAATTATCGTCAATGTTATCATTTCTTTAAAATACGTGTATACATAACTTTTTTATCTTAAATTTATCTTTAAGTAATGTTGTGAAAACTCATTATTTGACAAAAAGCTTTTAAAACTGTTTAAATTTTACTGCAAAAACTATTGAATTTATTTTATTTTTCTGTTTGAACGAAGCTAGTATCTGTACCACAATGGAAACGTTGTTTAAAATTTTATTTAAAATAAAAATTGCTTTATAAAACGCTAACGTTACCATATAACTATGTATTGTTAATCATTTATTTAACAATATTTAAAATTTAAATTATTTATTTATTTGTTTTATATTTAAATCCAATATGTATTATTATTGATTATTATTTCCTGTATTCTCTAAAAGTAAAAAATGTATCAAAAATGACTATAACGAAAATTTTAATTATTTGTTTATTCAATTTAATGGTAAATTATTATTATTTGGCAACTTTCTCATGGGAAGAGAGCAGTAAGAGCACAAGGAATGAAAATCCAATTTGTCGTATATTTATATTAATACAATGTTGCTAAGATAGCTTTACGGATGTTATAACGGCGAATAAGAGCAATATAATCATATAAATACACGATAACATTAATCACAACGACACAGTTGGTACTGCAATAAAAAAATTCAGCAACAGCAAAGAAAGTGTTTAACCATAGTTCAGAAAAGAATATTAAATAGCAGTATAGATAGCAGTATAGAGACTATAAGTTTTAGTACGCGTTCCTCTAGTAGTAAACATTCAGAAAGAATTAGGTGTGGACACTATTGGGTTTAAAACAGATGGGTTTCAACTGATAATTACATAAGGAGTTCTTATTATATACTTCATAAGTAATTCTGATTCAAAATGGATCAAATTTGTCCAACCGGGCAATGTCCATCAAGCTTGGAGAAAATCTTAACAACAAAATGAGCATCCAAATCGCACTGGTTTGCTTTGGATTAACCAGCCTGGATTATTTTTATTATTATTATCATTAACCACTTCTTGAACAATCTCCTCGAAATTAATTGGGATAAACCAGGAGACGGGCTATCGCTGAGGCCAGTTTTCAAATCGAGTTTATAAAAATATATATTCTTGACTATAATTGGGGCTTCAAAAGAAAACTGACCTATCATAACATTCCTTCACGCTATAATTGGGGTTCCAATAGAAAACTGACCTATCATAACATTCCTTCGGGCTATAATTGGGATTTCAAAAGAAAACTGACCTATACCAACATTCCTTCACGCTATAATTGGGGTTTCAAAAGAAAACTGACCTATCTTAACATTCCCAATACTATAATAGTAGTTTCTCGAAAAATGTAGGACATCCTGTACAAGCTCATAAATTACAATATGCTTGACGTTACGAGATGCAGAAACAGTTATTTTTCGGCATGAAACAAACTTTCTAAATGGCCTTTTATATACAGAAAGCTATTATCTACTGTAATCGTATAATATTCTCATCTAAATCTTTGTAAACAATTCTTTTAAATGGTTATGAACCGAAATATTAAGTCGTTCATTTCGAATAACAAAAACAAAATACAAATAATGATTGTATAGAATACGAATATTAAATTTCATACACACAAAGGGGCATATATCTTCATTTATTCCGTTAAATCTGACAGAGATCCATTAAACAGGATTGTCTATTGAAACATTGGAAATAGCGTACTCTTCTATTATTGCAGGAAAGCTGCATCCGGTGGAGTCGAGCGACTATATCGGAAAATTTAATATCGAGATTATCTCCGTACCTGTTTCATGAATATGTAGTCTGTGCTACTTCAACGTTCAGGAAGATGGATGTAGGAGCGGAACAACATATAGACTATAAATCACATACCCGCGATACAAACATTACCAAAATAAAAGAAAATGTCAAATGTGCTCACCCAAAAGGCGAAATCACAACGAAATATCTGATCTAACATATTTATGAAAATTAATTTTTTTTAAAGTAAAGGAGATGAGAGTTTTTTATAGAATTATGAGGCTACGAAAAAGACGCTTAACCCGTTCATTATTACATAATGTATTCCACCGTTAGACAAAGTAGCGTAACTTTAAGTGAATTTAAATTTTAAATTGCTTAATCAAACTTCCTAGATCGAAGAAAGTTTTGAGCCTCACGTTAATCATTTTGCAATCGAAGTCTTTGATGCACTTTAATTATAAAAAGAACGTTAATGTTTTTAAATTAAATTTAATAATCCGATTTATAAATATAATATGATGTCGATTACATGCACAGATATAAATTTGACCGATTTTCAGTATAAGCTTGACACACGTTATATAGAACCAAGGTCACAATCTGTTTGCATTCAAACGATTGAAGCTGTCAAGAGCAAAAGTCGAGTGGAAAGCTCTATGAATTCTTTGTGAGAGATGTAGGCACGTATGTTCGTAGCACATCGATGTTAAAAATATTGGCGAAATGTATCGCGGTCGGAAATCTGGGTCAAGCTATAGGAAGTTCGTGCCGAAGCTGTAGTTTATTGGGTAACCACGTCATTTCAACGATCTAATATGACCGAATGTAAAATTTAAACTCACGATTAGTTAGAGTTCATGTATGAAAAATTGTGTCACCCGAAGCATCATAAATTTCATTTAATTTTTCTTTATCCTCTACCTACATCATTTATTAATTTATTAATGCACCAGAAACAGATTATACTGAAACGGTAATCTCTTTAATCATTACTAATAGCTACTCATAAACTTAAAAGCTGCACATTATAAAATGAAACTCACCTCTGGTGTCACGAAATAACTAGGACTTTTCTCAATTGTAATTTGTCCATCGTAAGAATGTGGCATTTTCATTCTGTACCAATCCAATCCTCTATTGTAATTTTCATCTCGGTCGAAAAAATGTACTTCCCCGGCAGCTTTTTGAATCATCGGATGGAGGTAAAGCATTTCCAGAAGGGCTCTAGTGCCACATTTTCTAACCCCAATGATAATTGCTTGAGGTAATCTTTGGGCAGGTTTTGGGTAAGGTCTATTGGACAGTAAAAGTAACGGTGGAGAATTACGATCGGGAACAATATCAACAGAAGCGTCGACAGCTATCACTCCGACGGGACTTTCGTTAGTTGCTTGAAAGGTATGTAAAGCACTATCATAGATCAGGTGAAGAGTGAAGAATATTGAAAGGAGCATGACGGCTAAGATGCAGGCTGCCATTTTTGGTCTGGAAACACCGACTACAAGAATGCAATCGGATGGGTCTCCTTCCACGGATCTCATTGCTGCTCTTGGTAGCCATCTGAAAAAGAATTTTTACTCAAATTAATGCGATGGCACTGAAACTATTAAGTTCATTAAGTTACTTAAAAATTTTAGAACAGTGCCTAAAAAGATTCCGTATAAGCATTAACAAAAACTTGAGGTCCATAAAGTGAGAGCTTTACGGACCTTCGGTTACGGCTTTTACGAAGGTCTCCATTAGGTGTAATAAGGTTAATTTTGTTTCAGCCACCGTCTAGAAGCTGGCGTTCGTTTACAACTTATTGTTATTGTCTAGACGGTTAAAGTTGCCCGACACGTAAATTCCGAAAGTTCATGAAACTTGCTTCTTATTACCTGAACTCGTAAAATACCTTGAGCACAGATACGTTTCTACGGTTTGGTAACTTATTGCGCTTGTAAATTTAAACGGAATATATGTTTTCTCTAAACAGGTTTATCGTGATACATTGAAACATTTCCTATAACGAAAATTGTTTTGAAAGTTTGTTACAAATTTCATTAAATACATAGAAATAAATAAATGATTACTGATTAACTCACTATTTTCAGACGGTTTAATCAAGAATTAGCTGGAAGGGTACACAAAAAGTTACACAATCCTAAACAAAGAGGGTTCGAGTTTATGTAACATACTCGTCCGGGTCAACAGGGATAAATTTGTATGATAATCCAAATAATGTTCGTCCTGGTACCTCATATTTATAATAAACAAATTTAAAAATTTAATCAAGGACGGTTGTTGTACTTTTAATTGTTATTCAGCGCTAGATTGTTGTATATTTTTATTGAACTAAAAGAAGAACTAACACTAGACCTAGAAGTAGTAACATTCGGGTTTAGCCGTCTTAAGAGACGTACGGCTAAACCCGAATGTTACTACTTCTAGGTCTAGTGTTAGTTCTAGTTTTATTTATTATTCAGCGCTAGATTGTTGTATATTTGTATTGAACTAAAAGTAGAACTAACACTAGACCTAGAACTAGAAACATCCGTGTTTAGCCGTCTTGAGAGACACATATAACAGACTTTTGGCTATACACTCACTTCCCTGTATTAATCCGTTATATCGAAGTTATTATACTTTAATTGTTATATAATTAGACAAACACTTGTAATACTTGTTAACGTAATTACTTGTACTTATTTTTCCTGATCTTTATGTGTTTATTATTATGATAAGGGTATAGTTAAATTTTCATTAAGGATATGAAATGAAAATAGAGAATATGTTTTACGTAATCCATTATTATAATAGATTTAACTGACCAATACGGACACACTAACGGTTTCTAACTAGCCCAATATTATCACCTTAATGGAACTACAATAAATGGGTTAGTTGGATATTGATCGTTAATTTAATTTTATAACCAAGGCAACCCAAGTCAGCCTCTATTTAACCAGATAACTAATCGGTTGGATAAATTTAATTTGAAATTACCCTGACCGCATATGTAGTATGTGTGTGTGCTAAAATAAAAATGTGACTCATTTTCTGTGAATTCATGAACACGTCAAAGGATAAAATCAGAAACTCTGCGGGTAGGTGTCAAGACAAACTTTTGTAAAGGTACTCACAATATATCAAAGTGCGGTGGCCGCACGCAACTTCGCCTATTTTCCGTCTTCGTGGGGCTCATGGTAGATGTCGTAATGCTGCCATCAAGTCATCTGAAATTAATTATTAACAAAATTAATATTTTAATTTATTTAAAAAACCTGAAATTATTTAAGCTCGTTTAAAATTATACTGAATATATTGTTAATATACATGATATAGTGACAGTAAGGACCTTTTGTAGTCACAATTTGCATGTAATTTAATTTAAGCGTGGAACCGCGCGAACGTCAAAGTGATAAAAGAGATTATGGTCAATGTTAAGGGATTACGTAAATTCGCATAGAACGGAAAGCCAAAATTATTCGTAGGGCGCCCACATTTTGCCCCAGGATATACATCACGCCGTGGTCAAATAGTACAATCGGGTTACATTTCATTGGGAAATGTAAATACGACTTCCGATACCGTATCCATCGTACGCACAGATAGTTTAAAGCACCCGTGTCAACACTGTATACATCCGGTATTTGACAAATTCTGAAAGTGTATCGATAAAGTTGAGAAAATGTTTATTTTTTGCTAAAAAAAAAGTTTTTTGAGGCTAACTTTAGGTAGAATTCAAAAGGCAAACTCACGGAAGCAATATTTTTAACGCTGACAAAAGAACGAAGATTTCGAGGGAGACACAAGAAAGTTTAAATGGATAAAAACACCAGAAAGGGATTATATTACATCCGACGTGGTAAAAATATGGTCGAAAAGGGGACGAAATAAAAATAACGAAAATTATCCAACGCGAGGTCTATCGCGTAGTTTTTTTTTAACGAAACTCGAATTATTCCAGCGATATAATTTTTCTTTGCGAATAAAATCCCTATTATGTCAAGTTGAGAACCATAAAGTGGATCGAATTACTAAAGGATTTGAGCACAGGAATAATGGGTATCAATTTACGAAAGTATAGCTGAACCAGTCTATCGCATTTATGGGATAACGATATCGAATGCTAAAAGTAAAAAAAAATTGAGATAGAGGAAAATTGGTATCACGTTTCTGAATATTTTAGAAGAAATGATTTTCCAAACAATAATAATTTCAAATTTAAGAACTCACGCTTATATATATTATTTCATTAATCCATTAAAAATGGTATTAATAAATAGTCTGTATAGCTACACATCCATTTACTCGATGAATCTATCTTAATTTTTAATAGAAATGGTAGAGGACTATTTAGACGACTTGGCAATCATTACATAAGGGATCTACATAGTAAATCGTTATATCGTAACGACTGCCTTATATTGTGAGTGCATAAGGTGTCTTTTATGTCAGTGTGATCATGGATTTAAAAAAATCCGCCTTGTTAATGAATAGAACTCATTAACATTGAAGGTGCTTGCCATAACACTACTTTCTGGTTTTACTTTTAGTTATAATACTAATCCTTCGTGGGATTGGTCTACAAATAGAATATGTATATAATGAGGTTACGAAGTTTTTTCTGTAAGTGGTTATCGACATATCAGCCGAGGTTGCTCGCGGCCGTGGCGCTACAACCTAAGTCGTTAAATATAAATTACTGTCAAGGTAACAGACTCTTCCTTTGAATATATTTCAGCCATGAGAGATATAAATCAAATTTCTTGTACAGACGATTCGCAGTGTTTAGATATTAAAAATAATGTATCTTATAAATATCTATAAAGCTATTAAATAAAATAAAACATTTTTAAACTTAAACATCTTGTAAACAAATCCCTCAATAAAAGTCTTTTGAATTATCTTCTATTTCTTCGATAGTTTGTTGTGAAAATGTGCACTATAAGTTTAGCACCCTATAACTTCTTACATCGGTCATATTTTACAATGATCAATAGGAAACCGTTCCATAAATAAAACCGTAACTGCATAGAGGAAATATTCTAGTGGGTTTACAATAATGTTTTAACTTTACGAGAAACAAATTTATATGCTAAAAATAAAAAGGTTATAGCAAACATAAAAGCTCGTGTGGTAGGTGTGAAATTTAAACGGAAAATTGAGACTTAATTATATCCAGGCGTTAAATAGGCGATAAATTACCGTGGCTGAGGTCTTTTCAGTCGTTTTTCAATTTATAACGAAAGTGAAAGTAGGTAAATGAAATTGATATAAATGATTTACGATGGTTAAGGCATTTCCACCGTCAAAAATTAATAATTAACACAACAATAATTTTCAAAATGTATTTTAAATTAGCATCGATCCAATTAAAATTTAAACCCTAATTAATATATTGCGACCATTATGTTGATTTATTTAAATATAACGGTGTGTTTATATTTACAGGAAACATAAAAACACTTAATAATCATATCCATAAACGAGAATATTATTTATGACAAGGTTGTCCATGAAAATAAAAATTTATATATTTATGATAGGCGTTTTGTCTGAAAAGGGGGAATCGTGACGACGGTAACTTTGCATGTCAAATATTTCATGGCGCCCTTTGTATTATTTCGGTCGTTCGATAGCGGTTTTAAAATAAAAATTTCAAGTTTAATTGTGTTGCGAAACCTTGGCCCAAGAAATGCCAATTATATCCAACCTAGGGTCCAATCACGTAACGACTTTCAAAGTTCCACCCCACAGAGAAACCGACCCCGAAGTTTTAAATCTGCGTCCTTCGTGACGTGAACCTTTCCTAAATAGTTATTTTCTGCAATTCAAACGTTACAACTGCTTTTTTTCAGTCGGTGACGTTAAAGTTCGGAGATTCCATGCACCAGACGTATAAATTGCATTCGCTCACGTAAAGTTACCTCCATTTGCCTTTTCCTTTAAATATAATCCAAAATTTAAGAATCATCATAAACTTAGAAATAAACTTTGTGATTTATATTAGGCACACATAGTCTATTTTTGTGACATTATTCCATTACTCTATAGAGAAGTGAACCACAAAAATTAATAGTTGCGTCTTTAATATTGATAACCCGGAAAGTCAAAGCTTGTTACGTGAAAGGTTACCTAGTTTCCTGTCCATAATGATTACACGAATTGATGTAAAGTTTGAACTGTCAGAACGCTTGCAGAAGGAAGTTGTGAACAGGTGTTGTACGTCGAGCATATTGGGAATAACAAACAGTGTTAGTTGGAATGTTTACGGTAAACTCACAGTTCATATGTGATCGTAAATATTTTATTGGTTCAGTACGTGCTCTGAAAAGAAAATCGTTTCTGTCACAATATTTCATGATCGTATTCTACTTAAAAAGATATAAGTATTGAACTTGCTGTGAATATTTCACAAACATTACTAAAATTCATAACCAATTATCATATACGACAACCTCTAAACTAAAATAATTTATTCATGCCGATCTTTCAGCAAGTTTCAGCGCAGTTTAATATGTTCTAATTTAAATGGCAATTACGCGGTTAAATGAGTTTTAAGTTATATATATAAAATATATTTGTTAGGTGTATTAAACCAATTCAGTGAGGGATCTCAATTACTACTGTGTCTGAGTCTCTATGTAATTGTGGAAAATCGAATAGTTTATAACACATTGACATAGTGAATAATACGCTATTCTGTTGATATGCACATCTCATTTAAGTTTCAAATCATATGCATTGTAAGCAATGTATATATTATCCACGTCATATCTTCAAGTCACTTTCCTAAACTGTCCGGCCTCTGATTATAAGTAGTCAGAATTAAGAAACTAATATTTACATTCTGCATTAAAACATATCTTATATCTTATTGATCTTATCGTTATCAATGAATTCTTTCTCCATTTGCACCCTAATCTACTTTAGATTGTTACGTAATCTAACCTAATCAATCCCAATCTCCAAGTAACGATAAATGTTCCAGTTTCGATTATAATCAATTGGTTTCAGAAAAAAGTATTCTATAATAATAAGTTAAGCTTTTAAAACATAAATTTTTTATGATCTGTGCATCTTGAGGTAAATTTTTCTATCGATATTCTTCATCTACAGTTTTAAGATCAAACTCTTTTGAATTATTTTCCTTTTACAATGTTAATAGCCTGTTTTTATATACAACGTATTGATCACACACATTTAAATTATATACATTTACCTTTCGTAACAATGTTTGTTCCATTACGATATCATAAATATTTGAAACGAACTTCGAAAGGGAGGTTTCGACAAGAATTTAGTACTATTAGCGGTGATATGTGAAACTGTGAACTGTAAATTGATCTGGGTAAACCAAATCCCGGGTTTATTGGTCTAAAATGGAGGAAAGTTTAATAGATGCAATATTAATGAGTATCGACTGTCATTAGCATTAACGCTATTAACGTTGTTAGAGTCATTTATTTTGTTTCATTGTTAGAAAATGAAACATGTATTTTCAAGATATTATACAAGCACAACTTTGTATATTTACAAACAATAATTATTCGTGTTACTAATTTACGGTAACATATTCATAGTAACCTGTCAGAAGCTTAAACGAGATTTAACATGTCCTAATCAAAGTGGCATTTACCTGATGGGTTTCATGTTATACCATATTTTGTTTTACATGATACATTCCTCCCATTATGTAGTATTAATTTCCAATCTTATTATTGATTGCAAATCCGGATTACTATGTGTATTGCATGTGGACGCCAATCACTGGAACGGACGTGCCTTGGTCTTGCCGAAATTGAATCTGGCCCCACTCCAGACGACATTACGTGGACCTTAGTGGCCCTAATCCAACAGGATATCTGCAATCTGTTGCTGGTCGTTGAACTACTCGACCACCCTTTTAAAATTTATTCAAAATACTAATCATCTTACAAATAGAAGAGAACTGTGTTGGTTCCAGCTCGATTACAAAAGATGAAAAGGTCAACAGTTACAAGTTTCAGACTTAACATGCAAATAAATTCGTCGGTTAGTTAGAATAAGTTATTTTGGCGTGATGAACGAAAGTCAAAAGTAGCTTTGAGGGTTATCTGTGTTCGAAAAATGGTTCCCGTAAATCAGCCTGTCCACGAAGACATATTGCGGCATAAAAAAACGGAAAAGAACGACGAAAAGAGGAAAATAGGCGAGCCAATCTCTGATTATACGTTGATAATAAAGATTT